TGGAGGGGATTGTAACCATGGCAATGAGACGATATACGATAGAATGAATGTAAAACTAATGTTCTCCCATGTAAACTATCACATAATTCACAATAAATCATAAAAAAAAAAAAAAAAGACTAAGGAAGACCAACTACCGTATTTTTCTCCTGATGACTGCGTGGACGCTTTAGGAAAAGTTAAAATAAAACATTAAAGTGAACACATTTTGTTTTCTAGTTCCTCATTTCCCTCTGGTGCCTTTGGCCAGTCAGCGTGGACAGTCAGGGTCTCTAAATACCCTTTTGGTCCCCCAGCCTCTCCACGCACGTAGCCAATAAGCACCTGGAGGCTCGGGAACCAGTCTTTGAGAGCCCTGGATCCCAAGCCCAGCTCCAGCCTCACCCTCTGCAAGGTCACTTGTAGTAACTTTTGTTGACTGAACAAAATAATGTTTACATCAAATCCATTTAAAGAGAAATTTCTTTTTCAAGCAAAGGTGGTTACTCAAATGAAAAAGAAAACCGTTCTAGAAGGAAGACAGTGGAAATATGTCTTGTCATAAAATACACCACCACTTCTGAAAGGGGTGTCTCCTTCATTTCTTTTCCTTGTCCCCTGGTGTCTTTGGCTTGTCTGCCGGTGGCTTGTCCGCCGGAGGCTTGTCCGCCGGTGGCTTGTCCGCCGGTGGCTTGTCCTTGTTTGCTTCAGCATCTGGTGCTTTAGTGGCATCCTTGCTCTTAACTTGATCTTTTCCTGGAGGAGGAACCAGCACATTCTTTTTCACCTTCTTGCCTTTGAAGTGCTTTCTTTGAAGACATACATCGATTAAAGAAAATAGTGCAGCCAATCCAGTAAAGGCCTGGAAAACAAAGGAATCCTCACTACTTCAGTTTTTCATTCCAAAGCTGGAAGTGTCTCTTCCCTATTTCTAATTCATCAGTAGATATACTATTGTACATATTCCAGTGTCCTCTGGTGTGGCACTGTAGGATAAGCACTGGACTGCTAACCACAAGACTGGTGGTTCAAAACCACCAACCACTCCCTGGAAACCCTATGCCAATTTGACAGCACTTAACAACAAAAACTTGTCCCCTCAAACTACTCGGCTTTCTCCAATGTGATCTCTGAGTTCTCTCTACTCTCATACTTTCTGTCTTGAACACCAGCAAGGTGGGGCCCCTTGATCTGCAAGGAGGAAGGCTTTAGCTTGGCTGCCTCCCCAGACATCATATTCACTTGACATCTCCATGGGAGACATTTACCAATTTTATTTACTTTTAAAGTTCGCTTTGGTCCCAAGAGTTTGTGAAAAGAAAAGAAGCCCTTTTCTGAAAATGGGGGTTGGATGTGTGTGTGTGAGGGGGACCAATGGGAACAGGGGACAACACATACACTCATTCTCTAAAAGATGGAAATTTAGAGCAAATAAACAGCCCGAAAAGGACGAACTCACCAAGGCTACGAAGTAGTGCATGTGCATGGCTGGGTGACTTTTCAAAGCAAAGATCACAGCCCCAACAAGGAAACAAACGGCAATCAAGTCATTGAGAAGGTCCTGAAAAATGGGAGAAATGAGAGCCATCCTTAAACAGAGCCAAGCCCACGACCCATGACCCACAGTGCCCACCCTAGCATGTTGTTGTCCTTAGATGCCATTGAACTGACCCAATGTGACAGAGTAGAACTGCCCCATAGGGTTGTCCAGGAGGAAGACCCTCAATGACCTAGATTGATACACTGACTGCCACAGTGGTCTCCCATACAGGCAGTGTTTCCTTTTGTTATGCACAGGGTCACTAAGAGTCAGAACATATTCAAGGACCATAACAACAGCAACAATCATTACTGGGGTAGACTTCTAGGTCATTTTTCCTCTGAAGAGCTGCATGGTCAATTGGAACCTTTTGGTTCGCAGCTGAGCACTTAACTGTTGTGCCACCAGGGCTCCTTCACCCCAGTGTGACTTCCTTCAAAGGGACTAATTTTCAAACTTCCACTTGCCTTTTTATTTGGTTTTTTGGAAACTTTTTATTGTGAGTTGAGTGAAGGTTTACAGAGCAGATGGTCAGTTTTACATCCAACAAATCACACACTTTGTTTCATCTCAATGATTGCAGGCGTCTTCATGTAACAACACATTTCCTACTTCCTCTCTCTGTTTCCTATTTCTTTTCTACCCTCCTTCCCAACCTTTCTGAACCTTGTCCCCCTGGAAATGTTGCCCTTTTGATCTTGAATCGTTGACTATTCCATGGTGAGCATACTTCACTAGTTTTGTTGTCTTCCTTATATCCACTAGTTGGTTGAAAATTGGGCCACGAGGGTTAGTCTTATTCCAGACCTGAATGGTGGATGAGGACTATAGTCTTAGGTTCCTTCAGTCTCTTTCTGACCCTAAGTCCAGTTTTATTTCTATAACTTGGGGTTTGGCTCCACCCGCATTGTTTCCTACTCTATGTGGGATCTTTCAATGTGATCCGTTTCAGAGCAGTTGCTAGTGGTGGCCTTGAACCATCTAGTTCTGGTCTGAGTCATAAAGCCTGATGTTCACGTGTTCCATTAGTCCACTGGACTGATTCCTGTACAGGGTTTCCAAGGCTGTAAATCTTTACAGGAGCAGCAAGCCTCATCTTTCTCCCGCAGAACAGCTGGTAATTTCGAACTGCTGACTTTGAGATTAGCAGCCGATTTGTAACCACTAAGCTTATGTAAATTGACCATGATGTCTCCTGAGATCCCAGGTCCAGCAACCCGTTACCTCGAGGTGTTTGGTAATGTTCAAGAACTTTTCATCATTTTGCCTCCGGTATGCTCCACCACATTCATAGGTGTGTTTCCAGCAAAGGTTAATACCCATGTACAAACTTCTTCTATTAACCCTTTATATATTTGTGGGGATACTCCTACTCTCCCACCTGTACCTGTTCAGTCTGTGTATCTAAGCATAGATCTACCTACAGAGCACTGGTGATGCAGAACTGTGTATATTTAAAGTATTTACTTCTATCCCCTTTAACCCTTGCATTCCTCCCTGTGTCTTTACTTGTCTTCATCTTTCTTTTGCCAACTTCCCTCTTCCCCATCACTCAAGTTAACATGTGTCTACCATTTAGGCAATGATTACCCTTCCTTTCCTCCCACCCCTGGTTACCATTAAGAGATGTTTCTTTTAGCATGAAAACTTCTTCTTGAGTTTTTACAATTAGAGGTCTCATACAATATTTGTCCTTTTGTGACTGACTAATTTCACTCAGCAGAATGTCTTTCAGGTTCAACGATGTGTAATATTCCATTGTGTGTATGTACCAAAGTTTATCCATTTTCCACTGATGGGCATTTAGGCTGTCTCCATCTGTTTGCTATTGTGAATAATGCTGTAATGAACATTGGTGTGCATATAGCTACTTGTGTCATGAACCTTATTTCTTGGGGATATATACCACCACTTGACTTTTTAAAACAAGTGCCAATTTAATAATTTCTACATGTACAACTTTAATCATGACATTGATTACATTCTTCAAAATGTGCAGTTATTTTCATCATAAACTCATTTTTTAGTTGCTATTGTCAGTTTGAACCCATCAAAGATAATTCTTTAATGAAAAAGCACAATGCTCAAGGCAGATATCCTTTACTAACTAAGCAGAACTATTTTTAAATTTAAAGATGACTTCAGTTGATAGTTTCAATTTGAGGTTTAAGATTTAAAGATTATCTCATGAAATAGTTTTGAGCGGAGAGGTCATCCAGCCTCGTTGGTTCTAGAATATATGTTGTTGTTGTTGTTAAGTGCCATTGAGTTGGTTCTGACTCATAGCGACCCTGTATAGGATTTCCAAGGAGCGACTAGTGAGCTTGAACCACCGACGATGCTGTTCTGACATTGCAGTCCAGCGTATATATATGAATTCCATTAAAATTTGAAATTGTGTTTCACATTTCTTCCCCTTTTGATCAAGATTCTACTATAGAATCTTTGATCAACGTCCTATAATGGGAGCTGGGTGCCATCCATTTCTATTGGTCTTGTGGTGTCTTCCACAATTCTTTGAGAACAAGGTTAAGTAACTCTGGTGCCAGCAAGTTGCATCAGGAATGTGGACCATGATCTCTGCTGAGCTGGGGAGGGAGGATATAAGTTAAAATGCCACAGTTTCCAAACTCTAGAATCTTCTTTCCTCATTCTGTAAGCTTTTGATTAAATTTGAGTTCTAACAAGATTGAGTCTAACAGTATTTTCCAGCGTAATCATTTCTTTAGTGTATGGAAAGAATTTGGGAGTCTCCTACTTTGCTGTTTTCAGTGACATCACTCTCATTAGATCTGGAAGGTTCTCACTCATTATTTCTTTTGATAACTTCTTTTCTTCCATCTCGCTTCTTGTGGAATTTCTATTACACGTACAATGGACTTTTTCATTTTGTCTTCTATGCCTCAACTTCTTACATATTTTCTGTCTACTTATCTGATATATGATATATTCTGGGCAATTTCCCCATATCTTTCAAGTTCACTAATTATGTCTTTAGCTGTCTCTGATCTCCTTTTTAACAACCCATTGACGTTATAAAACATTTTACTGTATTAAATCATTTCAATGGTTTTTATGCATACACTTCAGTGAAATTATGTTCACCATTTTGTACAATCATCACCACTAGCTGTTTCCAAATTTTTCTATCATCCTGAACAAAAGGTCAAAGCTCCTTAGGCAATAACTCTACCTCTGACTTCTGGTAATCACTAATAAACTTTGGTCTCTATGCATTTGCCTATTCTAGATATTTGAGGTAGAACTAACTCGACAGCAATAGATTTTTAGGTATTTCACGTTAGTGGGATTATACAATATCTGCCTTAGTCATCAAGTGCTGCTTTAACCGGAATATCATGAGGAGACTGCTTTAGCAGACAGAAATGTATTCTCTCCCAGTTTGGGGGCTAGTAGTCCATCCACCTGGCACCCTGTCTTGGGAAGGTTTTCTCTCTGTGTCAGTTCCCAACTCCTGTCTCCTGTCAGTAGCAGAGGTGTCCAGGTGTCTTCACATCAGTCTTTCCCTGGTTCTCAGCACAGGGATCTTGGGTCCAAAGAAAGTCATCTGCTCCCTGTTCTTTCTTGTTGGCAGGAGGTCTCTTCTTCTCTGCTTGCTTCTCTCTCCTGGTGGACACCTGGTGTGGCACTGTGGATTAATGCGCTGGACTGCAAAGTGGGTGTGAACTGCAAGGTCGGCGGTTCAAACTTATCAGCCGCTCCTAGGAAACCCTATTTAAGGTCGCTATAGGTTGGAACTGACTCGATGGCACTTAACAACAAAGATAAAAGGTGATGCAGGGCACACCCCAAGGAAACGCTCCTTACATACAATCAGGGCTGTGACCTGAATAAGTGTGTTGTGGTGGTTGCTGGTGGTTATGTGCCGTGGAGTCGGTTCCAACTCACAGTGACCCTGCATAGGGTTTCTGAGGCTGTAAATCTTCATGGGAGCAGAAAGCCTCCATCTTTCTCCCGTAACATGTAACTACATGTTAACTAGAGTGATGGGGAGAGAAATGCACAAGAGGAAGGGCAGTATACAAGCAGAGGGAAGTTGTCAGAAGAATGATTATGACAGGTGAAAATGCAGGGATGTATACAAGGGTTAAGGGGGATGGGGTAAAGAGTGGTATTATATATATATATATACACACACACACAAAACCTTGGAACAACATGTTCTGTGGGTAGATATATGGATAGAGACACATGCTGAATGGGTATGGCAGAAAGAAGAGTGGAATATATATATATATAACCGTGACTCTGTGAATTCCTTCCATCTTCTCTTCATGCTTTCTGCATCATTCAATAATTTGCCCAGAGAATCCTTCAATAACAAAAGTTGAGGCTTGAATTTTTTTCTGCAGTTCCCCCAGCTTGAGAAATGCTGAGCGTGTTCTTTTTTGGTTTTCTGAGTCCAGATCTTTGCACATATTGTTGTAATATTTGGCTTTATCTTCTTGAGCTGATCTTTGAAATTTTTCTGTTCAGCTCTTGTACCTCTTCATTTCTTCCATTTGCTTTAGCCTCTCTACGCTGGAGAGCAAGTTTCAGTGTCTCTTCTGACATCCATTTTGATCTTTTTCTTCTTTCTTGTCTTCTTAATGACTTTTTGCTTTTTTCCTGTATGATGTGCTTGATGTCATCCCACAACTCTTCTGGTCTTCGGTCTTTAGTGTTTAATGTATCAAATCTGTTCTTCAGATGATCTCTAAATTCA